AAAATACCAGAGCAAAGTGTTCTTCTTCTCCATGCCTGTGCCCATAATCCCACAGGAGTGGACCCTCGTCCAGAGCAGTGGAAGGAAATAGCAGCAGTCGTGAAGGTGAGGAGGCTGAACTGATGGGTGACAGTTCTGTGTTTATTAACTAGCCTTGGATGCTTAGTTTGGCAAAGTCATAACAGTGAGTCTTAACCTTGGGCCTGCATGAAATGTCCACATGTGGATAAGCTGCCAGAAAAGGGGTCCTCGTTTATATAATCAGTTCTAGAATTGGTGGTACATGAGCATTTGAAACTAATTTTTGTTCCTCAGCCTGGATATAGGGAATTCTGATAAAACTTACTGGCCAGCCTGTACTACAAGCATTCCCCTGGCCCCAGGATATCTGCTGGTGGTGCCTACAATTTGCATTAGTCAGTGGTTATGGTTACTCGTTCATCCTTTTATATACTTTTTCATGTCCTCTCCTTTCTGGCATTGCTATTATCGCTTACAGAGTGTAGCCAGCTGTCAGGGAAGACACTAGTCAAAATTCCTAGGGAGAAAAATATTCCTATTGTCATATGTCCCCATTTTCACTCCTTTTGGTTTCCCTTTCTTTACCTTCTGTCAAATGTAAGCTGCAAACAGAATGAGACAGAGAAACAGCATTTGGAGAGCACTTCTAAGATGAGAGGGTTCAAATGAGGTTGTTTCCTGAACTCTGGGTATAAAATGACTCTGCCAGGGTTATGTTAGCCCCAGAAAAGGCTGACTGGTCTTGTGTTGACTAGACCAAAAATAACCAGACCACTGTGGGCCTTAGAAGAGCTTCTTGTTTGACTAAGCAACATCCTGGGAAGACCGAAACTAAGATTCTCTGTTCTGGCTGGGCGCAGCGGCTCACAGCTATAATCCTAGCACTCTGGGAGGCCAAGGCAGGAGGATTGCTTGAGGTCAAGACCAGCCTGAGCAAGAGCGAGACCACATCTCTACTAAAAATAGGAAAATTAGGTGGTCATGGTGCACGCCTTTAAGTTCCAGCTACTCAGAAGGCTGAGGCAGGAGGATCACTTGAGCCCAGGAGTTTGAGGTTGTTGTGAGCTAGGCTGACACCACGGCACTCTAGCCCAGGCAACAGAGTGAGACTGTCTCAAAAAAAAAAAAAAAGATTGTTTTCTTTGTGTCTTCTTGAGGGATAATATCCACCAAAGTTAAAAAAGTATATTGATATCCTAACTCTTGGAAAATTAAAGCATCTCCCAAACTGCCATTTGGAGAGAAAACTGTTAACTCTGTCTATGTGAGGCAGGCATGGTTCCAATAAGCAAAAGTAACTGTTAACTCTGTCTATGTGAGGCAGGCATGGTTCCAATAAGCAAAAGTAACCATTTAGGGCATCTTCAGACAGACTGCCTAAAGCTTGGGTCTTCTCTTTCCTTCCCAGAAAAAGAATCTCTTTGCATTCTTTGATATGGCCTACCAAGGCTTTGCCAGCGGTGATGGTGACAAGGATGCCTGGGCTGTGCGCCACTTCATTGAACAGGGCATTAATGTTTGTCTCTGCCAATCATATGCCAAGAACATGGGCTTATATGGTAAGCTACAGAACCCAGGGTGATATGTGTTCTCATTGAGATTGAAGAAGAGCTGAGAGAAGATGCCACAAATACATAGAGTTTGGTGTGTGTGTGTGTGTGTGTCCATGTCCCTCCTTACCCAGGGAGGAAAGACTGGTATAATGAATTTGCCTGATTTTTTTTAGCTATATCTTTTTCAGTGTCCTTAAATTCCTCCATCAAGGAAAATTGATTGCTGCTGCTTTAAACAAAAGTAACTGATCCATGAGCCAAGAAAATAGATACAATAAAGAGACGTTTGAATACTCAAACTTTCTCTTGTGCCTCAATTTACCATTCTGGTTGTTAAAAACTTTTCATTTACAATAAACAGTTGTTTTTCTGGTCCTTCTGATGGAAACAGATAATATATAGCAAATTTAATCATGATTTGGTTTAGCGTATTGGGTAGAAGAACTAGAAGATGAAATCCATTTTATCTTTTCAGGTGAACGTGTGGGAGCCTTCACTATGATCTGCAAAGACGCGGATGAAGCCAAAAGGGTGGAGTCACAGCTGAAGATCTTGATCCGTCCCATGTATTCCAACCCTCCTCTCAATGGGGCCCGCATTGCCTCTACCATTCTAACCACCCCAGATTTGCGAAAACAATGGTAAAGGCTCATGCCAACCCCGGCCATCCACCTGTTCCCACCACAGCTCCTAAATGCTAGTTTATAATTGACCTATACTTAATGACTTATGATAACTTATAGATTCCATCCATATGGGGTAGGGAAGAGTATGTACCTTGTCAGCACTTTCAAATATGAGTTGGGCATTCCCACTAAGAGACAGACATAATTCAGAAATGGTAGTTCTTTTATTCTATCATTTCTATGTTAAATCAAACTTGCCTTCCCCTAAAATAGGAAAACTTCCTTAAGAACATCTTTTTTGAAACAGGGTCTCGCTCTGTTGCCCAGGTGGAATGCAGTGGAGTACAATATCATCATCATAGCTCACCACAACCTCAAACTCCTAGGCTCATGTGATCCTCCTGCCTCAGCCTCCCAAGTACCTGGGACTATAGGCGCACACCACCACACCCAGCTAATTTTTCTATTTTTAGTAGAGACAAGGTCTCACTCTTGCCCAAACTGATCTCAAACTCCTGAGTTCAAGCAATCCTCCTGCCTAGGCCTCCCAGACACCTAGGATTACAGGTGTGAGTCACATGCCCAGCCCCTTAATGTGTGCATTTTGGTACACATTTGAGAGTTTATAGTGGACAAAGATGACAGATACTGTGCTGATAACTAAGACCTGGTCTGACCTCAGGAGTTTATAATCCAGTGAGAAAAATACACATGTGACATTTGATGTAAGACTGAATGGAATAAAGACTAAAGGAAGAGCTGTTGATTCTAGTGGGGAATTGGGGAAGATGTAATGAAAACTATGGTGATTGTGCTGTACCTTAAAGAGAGGAAAGGGCTTTTTTGGCAAAGGAAATGAAGGGGACAGGGAAAATGGGCAGAGAGATCTGCCTGAGAAGGCCCAGGCATGGGATGTGCATTATTCAAAGCGTGTGTAGAAAGCCCTAAGTGGCTTCTGTGGGGAAAATACTGACTGTGAGGAGGTTTGTAGAAGGCAGCCAAGCTGAGAAGGTGGAGCAGATCGTGAAGCACCCTAGTTGATCCTGTGAGAAGTCAGAACTTTATTCTCTGGGCAACGAGAAGGATGGAGAGGTCTTGCTAAGGTGGCACCAGATCTAGCTGTGGTCATACACCCAATGCTTTTGGGACTCGGGCCTCAAAGTGAATGGAGCTGGGTGGATGGGGACTGCGGGAAATTTAAAATCAGGTGCCACACCTAGAGGGGCCAGGAGCTCCTCAGCTCCAGCCAGTAATCACTCTGCTAATGTGAGCCACCGCGCCCGGCCCACCATAAGCTTTTTAAGGCAAGGACCAATTTTTCAGACCTCAGCACCTAGCAAATGGCTTGGTTCATTTTAGGGTCAGTCACAGTGCATTGTCTTAATTGTGACGGTAGGAATGTTTGTTCCATCCATGTTAAAAAATGAGGTCAGGACGGGCGCAGTGGCTCATGCCTGTAATCCTAGCTCTCTGGGAGGCCAAGGCGGGCGGATTGTTTGAGCTCAGGAGTTCGAAACCAGCCTGAGCAAGAGCGAGACCCTGTCTCTACTAAAAATAGAAAGAAATTAATCAGACAACTAAAAATATATAAAAAAAAATTAGCTGGGCATGGTGGCGCATGCCTGTAGTCCCAGCTACTCGGGAGGCTGAAGCAGGAGGATCGCTTGAGCCCAGGAGTTTGAGGTTGCTGTGAGCGAGGATGACGCCACGGCACTCTAGCCTGGGCAACACAGTGAGACTCTGTCTCAAAAAAAAAAAAAATGAGGTCAAATTTTATTGTTTAACCCATATTTTTTACCTTAGTCTTCATAAGTTTTAGAGTGATTCGTTTACTTTTCTTTTTTCTGAGACAGAGTTTCACTCTGTCGCCCTGGGTAGAATGTAGTGGTGTCATCCCAGCTCACTACAGTGTCAAACTCCTGGGCTCAAGCGATCCACCTGCCTCAGCCTCTCAAATAGCTGGGACTACAGTTGCACACCATGACACCTGGCTAATTTTTCTATTTTTAGTAGAGTCAGGGTGTCGCTCTTGCTCGGGCTGGTCTCGAACTCTTGAGCTCAAGTGATCCTCCCACCTCAGTCTCCCGGAGTGCTAGGATTACAGGTGTGAGCCACCTTGCCCAGCCTCATTCACTTTTCTTAATACAGATGCTCCTCAACTTATAATGGGCTTACATCCCAATAAATATATTACAAATCAAAAATGCATTTAATACCCCTAACCTACCAAACATAGCTTAGCCTAGCCTAGCCTACCTTAAACATGCTCAGAAGACATATTAGCCTATAGTTGGGCAAAATCATCTGAAAAAAAGCCTATTTTATAATAAAGTGTTGAATATCTCATGTAATTTATTCAATACTGTAGTGAAATGAAAAACTGATTGTATGAGTACTTAAAGTAACAATTTCTACGGAATGCATATCGCTTTTTCACCATCAAAAAGTTGAAAAATCACAAATTGGGGACTGTACTCAAGTATGTTAACTATTTTAGTTGTCCAATCAAAATAGTGTTCCGATATAAAATGGAATGCTGTAAAATAGCTTTCTTCCGTGGCCAGTGTCAACACGTGACACAGTGAAAGACTAGGAATTGAAGCACAGTAGAGGAGAACTCAAGGGAGGTAAAATGCTATGAACTCTGGCTTATCTGTTAGCTCATGGCCAAATTGAGCTGCATCTCGGGGTTTTCTTACAGGTTGCAAGAAGTGAAAGGCATGGCTGACCGCATCATTG